GAGGCTGGGGTACTCCCCCAAGTTGACCTCAGATCAGCTCCAGCCCCTCCCAGAGTGTAGAGGGAGGATGAGATAGGGCCGCAGGTGCCAGCTGGGGGTGCAATTCTCATTGTTGCATAGGTCTAGTCAGGTCATTTTGCCACTCTGTGTGCGCCTCAGTTTCCCCTCCCAGTGCAGGAGGGAGTGAACCTGGGGACAGCAACGCCTCCTCAAACTTGCTTCCTGGATAACCTTAATGTTCCTAAGATAAGGCACCCCCCATATGGGCCACAGGTTGGGCATTGCTATGCCAAGAAATATGGTAGTTGCTGGGCTCTCTTACCAGCATCTTCTAGCAGGTCCTGCTCTGTACCAGGGTGGGAACAAGTTGTGGGGGGCAGCTGGGAGCTGGGGTTCTCTCGCCAGCTCTAGGAGTGGCGGTAAATGCCTGGGTTCTGCCCCTGGCTCCGGGGAGTTGGGGCGGGGGGGGTGGTTAGAGCAGGGGCCTAGGAACCAGACACCTGGGTTCTCTCTCAGCCCTGGGAGGGGGTGAGGTCTGGGGAGTCAGAGCAGGGATGGGCTGGGGGCCTGGATGCCTAGGTTCTCACCCAACTCTGGGAGTAGGGTCTGGGGTGTCACAGGGGGGCTGGGAGCCCGGACACCCAAGTTCCACCATCTGTAGCCCAAGAGGACGCCTCTCCTCTGCCTTTCACCATGCAGGTCTCCCTGCTGCTTTAATCCACAGTACAAATTGAACCTCCCCTGAGTGGGGTCAGCCCCCAGGGGCAACTCACAGCCCCACCCAGATCCCTACTCCCCACCCTTGCCCCATTCCCGCCCCACAAAAAAGCCGGCACCTCACGCCCTCCTGAGGATCCTAGAGGGGAGGTGGCTGTATGGGGGGGAAGGCTGGGGCTCAAGGGGTCTTGGTGTGGTCCATGTCCCGGCGCTTGCGCCACTGCAGCAGCTTGAGCAGGCTGAGGCTGGCCTTGAAGAGCCGGTCGTGCTGGAAGATGAGGCGCTGGAAGGCAGCAAGGGGCAAGTGCCCGCTAGTGTCTGCGTGCTTCAGTGTGGCCAGCGGCGCATACAGGCTGTTGGTCTGGGACCGGAACGGCGGCGACTCTGACGTGATCACCCGAGCCGTGTGCTGGAGAGGGGAAGGAGGAGGGACCGGGGCCTGAAACCGACTGGGGCTCCAGGAACACAGATCTTCCCCAAGTGCTGGGGAAAGGGATCAGTGGGTCCCTGAGCATGCCCCGCCCTCCCCAGGCCAGATCCTGAATTTCTA